CATTCCTTCGTAGTGCACGTCCTACACTGATATCAGAGTCATTGCCACTCTCATCTCTTCCTTCATGTTGATCGGTGGGTTTAGCTGCTTAATTTCCAACGCTTCTCTTATCCTTCTTTCGACGGGATCAATCACATTTCTGTGCAAAATGGAGACTCGAAGTTCGGGCGGTCTCTCCTGAGCATGCCGTAGTGTACGATGTCTCGAGAATGGATTATCAGCGTAGTTCTGTGGACTACGCAGAGCTCTTATGTGTTCCTCCATTCTCTTGTGTAGTGGCCTTGATGTTTCTCCGATGTAAAATTCATGACACGAAAGGCACACCACCTTGTACACTACATATTTTTCTTGACACACCTTGTGCTCTCCACAAAACTGACAGTTTGCTCTTTCACAGCGACTTTCATAGGGTCGCGATGATGTTAAAAGGCGTCGTAAAGTGGGAGGTGGTCGAAAGATCAGGTTAATCGGGAGCCCTGATCTCTTACGACGTCATTAACATCACACGCAAACGAGTCGTTGATAAAAGGCAGCATCAGTGGAGTACCACAAGGTGATCGGCATGGTCTCCAGCAACGAAGTTGCTGGTTCCTATATCCGTTCCGCCATAGGATATTCTCAACTTCTGTCTCCATTTCTTGATGATTCGTGGAGGTCAGTTCACGTGATGTAGATATCATGTGGCGAATCACGTTCACTTTCATGTGGAGGGGATGGCAACTTCTCGCATGAGTTAGGATGTTCTGTGGATGAATGAATAGGCCCTGCCAGCTCAATCAATACACCACAACATAAAAAGAAGCTTGAACTTACATGCTTTTGCTTTTCTCGTCTTATGTACATACTCGTAACGATCTGACTAGAATTATTATCAGAATATTGATCCTCTAATTCTGTGAAAACGTCGGTAAATATTTCCACCCCTGAAAAATAACAAAATATTCCAATACGGAATGAACAAAACATGTTTTGAATCATCAGCACCTGACATATCCATAAATTTGTTGAGGTTTGCAATGCTTCCCATCCCCTTGTGGCTGACTCGTGATCGTCTCAGCGCTTCTACCTTCTTGCTGGCAATTTCGCATTTGCTCGTCCATGAAGCGCACTCTTGAATGGTATACGGTAGCGTCCAGCAAAGGTTTCGTACGCTGATCGTGGGAATATATGAAAAAAATTAGAAGACATGGCCAGCTTCAGCGGAAGTCGATCCGGCATTTACCTCGAAGCGTGATTGGTAAACGTGCCACTTGCCACTACACACCTCCACCTCGAATACAGAGGTGAAAAAGTAATCGGAAACAGTACCTGCGTTTCTAAGAAAAATCACACCGATGCGAAATATTGAGGGATAAGAAAAAAAAAGAGATGGTGCAGCTTCCGCTTTGCACAGGCTCTAAGACGGGCCTCCCTGCTTTTGTTTGGAGAGGAACATGAAATTTCGGACCCTTTCAAGGTGTGCCTTCCTGATCCCATCCGCCATCCCATTCCCCCTTCGCCCACATTTCTAGTACTGCAGGCTGTTCTGAAAGTGAAATATGAAACTTATTTTAGCCTCGTAAAACCATAGTGTGCCTCCCTGATATCGTTCGAAACCCACTTACCGCCTTTGCCTACCTCTCGCGCTCCTGGTGATTTGATACCGAATGAGAACGGCCCTGCCCACTCAACGGGCGCCTTCTCAGTCTCATGCGCCCACTTTCTTTACACCTTCGCCCATTATTCCGAACCTAGTGGCCGTTCTGGGGCTGAACATGAATATATGAACCTAACCCCACCCAATCAAAAGCATGCTCCGCCCCCGGCTGTTCCCGGGTTCGCCTTCCTGATCACAAATGCCACCCCTACACTTTCCATTTCTCGCTTAGAGCAAAAGCGTGTCCTTGAACTAACTATAAAATAATGCACACAAAAATCAAATCATGAACATTGAACACTTTGACAACTTACTCTTTTATCCGGATCTCGATAGCAGTGCACATGTCTGACAAGTGCTTTGGCGGATTTTCTAGTCGTATGGTTGTATCGACTAGTTCCAGACAGAAACGTGACACAATCGCATCAATGACCTGGTATGACTAGGTTGCAAACGTTCTTACAAATAAAAAAAATCTAAAAATATCTAGTTCAGAAGTTAACCTTCGTGAATGCCTTTACACCGTCCTTGGCTTCAGTGTCAAATTCCTCTTCACAGGTTTCTTTTTCATTCTCATAAAAACTTCGAGCCAATTCACTGGAGGACACGAGGGATTCAACAACACTGCCGATCATTGATGAAACTGTAATAACGAAGAAATCGTGTTACTAGTAAGCGAAAAACTCAAAAGTAATGCTCACCGAGATCTTTGTTGTCAAGTTTCACGCCATCTCGTGCTTCAAACGTCAAATCCAACTGTCTGACTTTCATTGTACTTGCATCAGATGTTAGAGCACACCATGGGACCTCTGCAATCATTCGAATCTTCACCAATATCAGGCACACAAAGGGAGTAACGATAAAGAAAGGACTATGAACTATAGCAGAACATCGGAGTATGGTGCTGTCCCGGAGTCTCATTACTCATCTGAATGTGTAATAACAATGTGAAACTCCAAAAGTTTATTCCAAAAAACTCAAAAGACAGCAAAAGTCTCAAAAGTTTTTCAAAATATCTTATCTTGCAATATTTCGGTGCGTAGCACCTTCCTCAGGCCTGAAATTATTTAGCTTGACTTCCGCTTACGTTCCTAAAGAAACAACCCGCATGGATCCCTCCCCAACAAGCCACTTACCTAAATGTCCCGGAAAATTAGCCAACCCACCCTAACCACACCCTTAAATAGTGGGATGTGACGTGATCTTAACTTTTGAGACTTTTGCTGTCTTTTGAGTTGTTTGGAAT